CACCCAGGTCCAAGTGGAAGCCCTGAGCTGGGAACCAGCGAGCATATCTCCTCCAGACTGCTCCAGGAACAGGTTTGGATGGAAAACCAGTCACCCTTCACTGCTTTACTTTCCTCCTGCCCACCACTGCAGGAGAATCCAGCAAACATCAAGAGAAAGGAAACCATCTCCGAGCAAAGCTCACAGCCGTGATGCTCACAGCCTCCCCTGGAAAAGTAATGTGCCTCGTGTCCAAAATATGACAGTTTCATGCCACAGAACGTGATGTTTCATCAGCTGTTGGCCACGTCCGTGCTCTCAGCCTGGCTGGAGAGCTGCTGGAGCATCTGGGGCCAAGCTCACCCCTGCACCCAATGCCACCATGCAAACACCTGGGAAACTCTGGGCAACTTTGGGGTTGCCCTGGACGATGCCCAGGGATTCCTTCCCATCCCCACCACTGTGCATGACCAGCAGCCTGTAGTGCCTGCTGCCCCCCCCCCAATCCCCCCCGCGGCCCACCAGCCTTTACCCGCTTTGTCTATCCAGGCCCGGTAGCCGTTGAGCTCCCGCTCAATCTGCTGCTGGCGCCGCAGCTTCATGAAGGCTCGTCGGTTCTCCACTCGCTCACGCTCTTTGGCAAACTCCCTGGGGAAGGACAGAGGGGTGCGGTGAGAGCATGGCCGGGGGGCAGCGGGGTGCACGTGGGGCTGGAGGCACCTCAGGGCTGGGAGGGGAGGCAGGCACCAAGGGCGAGCACAAGCCAAGTGCTGCTGGAGCATCTTGGGGCAATGCATGGCCATGCCCAGCCAAAGCATGGCCAAGGGATGGGTGAACAATCGGAGAGGAGGAGAGGCTTCTTTGCAGGAGGAAAAGCACACATGCACGTGAGCAAACACCCTGCCCGGTCGCTCAGCCTCACAGGCCCTGGCTGGGAGCTGCTGCTGTTTGGGGAGGATGCTCCTAGTGCCACCCGACTCCAGAACCAGCCTAGCTTCCTTCCGTGTGTCCCTACAGGGAGTAAAAACTGGGCACCGTGAGGAGGCAGCAAGGGGATGGAGAACGGCAGGTCCTGTCCCCTGCCTTCACCACCTCTTCCTCTGAATCTTTCTCTTCCCAGCCTCTCCTCGGAGGGTTTTGCCAGGGCTTGAGACATCCCTGTTGTCCTTCTCTGGACTTCAGTGCCTCACGTGAACTGTCCAGGCACTATGACCAGTCCAGAGAAGGACAACAGCTTGTCACCCCCTCAGGGAGGAGGACAGGCAGCACTACACGGGCTCTGCGCAGGCAAGGGCACGTCAAACGCTGAGCAACACTGGCCAGAGGTAACGCCGTGCCCGCTGCTCGTGCAGCCTGTAACACACACGGTGCACGGATGCACTAGCATCCACGTGCTCGCATGCACTCCTAGGCACAATCATAAACACGCTCCTCAGTACCCCGATAGCCCGGCCCGGAGCTGTGCAAAGACACCCGTACGCAGCCAGGGCTATATACACCTTCTCACGGGCGGTTAAAACACAGGACCACGCTGGTAAGTGCAGTCTGCTTTCTGGTATGCACGCACTCGTGGCCGTACGCAGAAGGCCCACGGGGGCTGCCCTCCTGAGGGCAGGGGTTTTCACCCACCCTATACATGAAGAAGCACCCAAAGCCCTAAGCATGTATGCAAAGGCCATCACACACACACACAGAGAAATCCATAAACGGAAATATTTGGCAGGAATCACAGGGGTGGCAACGTAGACAACCTGCCACCCATGCCACGGGTTAGACGTGAGACGACACCGCCAGACCTACTTCTAGGAGGTCCCACACCCCGTGCTCACACACACCGCATACCTGGGGCATCTCGACCCGCACATTATATCTCTACTGACGACCACATTTGCACACGAGGAGCATCCCTCACACCAGACACCCCCCCCGGCACACCCTTCCTTCCTTGCAACAGCGTCAGGGGGATGCAGTCTGCTGGCTGCAGCTCCCCGTCCCCAAGCCCCAGCTGCACGGAGGAACCCAGCCCGTGTCCTCAGCCCCCTCCCGGTCCCAGGCTGCTCCGAGGGAAGCGTAATTGCAAAGAACAAATGGCACCGTTCTCTCTGCAAGACGAATGTCTCTCTCCCCAGAGACTAGCAGCAATCTCTAGCTTCAAAAAAAAAATAATATTCAAAAGAACTGAAAGAATTGGTCTGTCTACTGCAGAGAGAGTTCAAGTGCATTACCCCAGCTGAGCTATTACACCCTTAATGCTGTGTGGGCTTTCGCATGTGTGTGTGTGTTTGTGTGAAAAGCCCTGAATGTTCCCTGCATCTCTTGTTTAAGATCCCCAGACAATTCAAGTGTTTTTAATTCCACCCCAGGAAGGTGAAGTTTCCTGCCGCTCTGGTATTAAGCATCAAATGACTCTCCTGCTCCATCGCTGGCTTTCAGACCGAAATGAGACTTTCTTCCTAGGGCAGGGAAGGGGGAGAGAACAAAAGGCAAGGAAGAGAAAAGCAGCCTAAGCGGAGGGAAGGAGGGCGGGAGGAGACGGGGGAGAAGGAAGGACCTCCCACAGCCAACAGTGAAATGCACTCTCAATTTTGGGCATGCCATGCCAAAACCCCTCCTTGCCCTAGCTGGAGGAAAGGCAGGACCATTTTGGCTCTGCCATCATCCCCCACCGGCCTTTGCTCATTAGCAAATTAAGGATGTCAACAAATGAGGAGGTGCCATTTGCAGCCGGAGTTACCGGGGAAGTTGCCGCTCTCCCCCTGGTTTGGTCCACTGGCCCTGCCACGTGCTGAACCTCTGCCCCACGGGCCATAACCCCATGCCAGCCAGCTCCTTGGCAGAAGTTTTACCAGCTGGACCTCGCAGATATATTCTGCAACTGGGAGCACCTGGAAAGCTTCACCTGATTTACACCAGCTGGGAATCTGGCCCCTCTTTGCCACCTCCTGCTTGCCCATCCCTCTGTCTTCCAGCTCCTCCTCTGCTGAGGTCAGCGTCTCATTTTGCTGCACGGCAAGAGAAGCCATCATCATGTGTCCACGATGAAACCCAGCCAGAAGGACCAGCTGAGCCTCGAATCACCTTTTCCCATAGGAGGGAACGCAAGCATCTTTTCCAGCACCCCCTCCACTGAGCACCATTTGTCCCTACCCAACTGGTTTGCTCACAGAGCCTTAATTTGTAAGAAACTGGTGCCACACGCATCCAGGGACAAGGTCTGTGCAGCTGTGGCAGCGTCTCCGAGGGAGACACTTCCCACACGCTTGATCCCTAATGGAGCTTAATTGCTTTTGTCCATTAGAAGGAGGAAGGGGTGGCCGAGAGGGGGAAAAAAAAAAATTAAGCTCAACTTAATGAATTATTACATTTCATAGAGACACGTTACCGAGCAGGGCAGCAGCGGGGGCTGGTGACATCTGAGAGTGGGTAGGCGATGCTGACAGATCAAGGATTGCTCAGAGCCAATTTGCAGCAGCGGGTAGAGATAATACTGTATGTGAGTGAGAACAGGGCCAGCGACGGTGACTGACAGCCGCTTGGGAAGGCTCCAAGTTGCAGGCAGGGCGGCATTGCATTGCCGAGCGAGCCGGGCGCCTGCCTCCCATCGAAGGGCTCTGCTCCCCGGGGCGTTTGGGTTATATCGCCAGGCATGGCCGAATTTTGCCTTGCAAAGAGCCCAGGGCTGTGCTGCCCCACGGGATCCCTGCAAGGGGGCTCAGAGGACCCCAGCACATAGCACGGTCCCCACCGGCAACACCTCTGCTTGTCCACCTGGGTCTCCTGGCCCCAAATTCCGATGCCTCCAGCATGAAAACATCCACCCACAACAGCCAAGTTCCACTCGTGCCGACCCTGTGTCGTTGCAGCTCTTCCACGTCCAGCCTTGTAAAGCCGAAGACACGCAGGAAGCAATGGAGGCGAGCGCTGAAGGTCATGGTGGGAGCTGGGGAGCAGCGTGCCATCTGTCCTTCTGCACGCCAGGGCACCGTCCATCCGCACGCCGTGCCCAGCCTGCTGGGGCAATTGGAGCACAGATGGTTCGCTCCTCCTCTGCCGGCAAATTCTCCTCTACAGCCTTGGCATTCCCTTCACGCAGCCCGAGAGCATCTCTGCTCCTGGCAGGAGATCTTGGGGGACACCACGGCGCTTGGCCACCTTCCTCCCTGGGTCCCGCACCCTCACTCGCACCAGGGCAGTGATGCTTCTACTACACCATTGCGCTCTGCAAAAAGGATTGGAGAGCCCGGGTCTCCTTTTTTTGAAACAAAACAAGCAAAGAGAAAAAAACCCACACACACAAACACACAAACCCCCCAACCACAAGAAAACCGACAACCAAAAAGCAGTTAAGAAAAAAAAAAAAAAATCACAGAAACTGCAACCGACTTTTCTCCTTTTTGGAGCTTCTTTGAGTCCAGAGCGGGTATATAGCACTGGTCATGTTAATATTGTGGCTTCCACGCTTTGAAACAACAAGCCAAGCACCTTCAAACCCATCAATTCATCGCCTTTTGCCACCGTTAAAGACGCCTCCAACAAACCAGTTACCAAATGGGTCTTAAAGCAATATGAGGCAGCCGAAAGGATGGGGTGGGAAGAGGAGAAATGCTAGATTACACGCTGAGGATGAGGTAGCAGTACCATGCTGCTGTGAAAAAAGCATATATAAGGGGATGTATAACACCACCATCTGTAAGACATCAGGTAATACTGCTGCTCTCCTCAGCACTCCTGAGGTCTGAGCTCATGGCTCCAACCCAGTTTTGAGCACCACAATTTGAAGAAAAACCGCCTTTGACTCCAGGAAGGTGTCAGGGAAGGTTATGGGACAGAACTGACAACAGACGGTTTGGAAAACACGGATGAGACAGTTGCAAACCAGGGGGGATCAGATGGTATTTACCCAGGAGGTGTAAAGGAACTAAAGAAAGAGCGTTGAACTAACTGTGCAGTCTGTAACCTGGTGCTTCAACTTAAACAGACGGTGGCAAGCAGGCACAGCAGAACTGGCGTTGCAGACCGGGATTACTGCACTGAACCGACAGCAAAGGCGGGAAGTCCAAAAAGTACAAAAAATCTCAGCGGAGGGAAGATGCGCTTCATAGGTCTGCTTTGAAGGAGGCAACAAGGGGGTTTTTTTTGGATAAGGGTAATTGCTTGATTTAAGTTCACTTGAACTGCCAGAAGAAGTCAGAGAAGACTCAAAGTCAGGTTGGACGGGGCTCTGAGCAACCCGATCTAGTTGAAGATGTCCCTGTTCGTTGCAGGGGGGTTGGAGTAGATGACCTTTAATGGTCCCTTCCAACCCAAACTATTCTATGGTTCTATGATTCCTTAACAAAGCTGGATTGCCTCGAGAAAGCCTTCCCATGAAACACTAAGTGGTGAAAAGACTTTTTTAAAAAAAAGGAAAACAGGAACATCCTATTTCTTGTATTCCCTTTTTAGCAGTGGCCATTAGCTTTCGATCATCCCAGCGTACTTCGGTGAGAGTTACACGATCGCCGCGTTGTGACAAAGCTGCAGCGAGAAACGGAGCTCACAGCTGACGATGCTAAAGAGAGCACATTTCTAGAGCGCCGGCAGACACACGAGTTGGGAAATGAAAAGCTGACAAGCTGTTGGCGACATCGAATGGTAAAATGGGAAGG